TGGCCTTATTAATGTGCCTAATAAAGGGGCTCGACGCGAGGTGTACTGCCCGCACACTGGAAACAATGCGACAGAATGTGTGGGGGCTAACAAAAATAGATTTAAAAAACAATGAAATAAATGCAACAAAAGAATATTGTGGCCGGATCGAACGATTTGCAGATCGATACATCTGGCGCACCCTGGACAGAAGAGCGATTCCATTAGCGGACGTTCACCAAAAGGCAAGGCCACAGCGTGCTAAAGCCTCGGTGGCCGGGCATGGTTGTAGAGTGCCCTCAACTCGGTCACCAACCGGGTGAGGCGGAAAGCGAATGGCCGCTTTTGGATCCGCACGAGATCGCTTTGCAGCGACTGACTCTGGAACAGGTTTAAGCAGAACTGTTCCTCCCGGGCGCCTCCTCCAACGCCGGTCGGGTGCGCGCCCGTCACCTCTGGCCCCCGGGCGCCTTATCACTATCAGCAGCAGCCCGTCGTGGCGGTCACCGGGACCTGACCGGGACCAGCGGGGCGCGTCAGTCGAGAGCAGAGGCGCCGGCCGACAACACTCCGCGACCCGAGGTACGACTCTCTTTGACCAGTAGGAAGGCTCCTCGCCCTTCTCGTCCGCTCGAGATGGCGGGGTCCAGGACCCTGACCGTCGCGCTGCTGGTGCTGCTGCCGCTCGCCCTGGCCCTGGCCCGCCCGGACGGGCCGACGCTCCCCGAGGCCGCGGCCGCCCAACCCCGGCACCGTCGCTCGGCCACTGAGGAGAGGAGGAAGTGGAACGACTGCATCATCATGGAGCGCCAGGTGAGCTGGGCGGGCCGAGGGCCGGGCCGACACCGAGGGGCACTTTACTAAGTTTACTAAGTTCCAAACCAAAATATCAAAAAGAGTAATCAGAAAAAAACAACAACAGGAAAATCAGAAAAAAAATCAGGAAAAATCAACACAAAAAAACAAACAAAAAAACAAACAAAAAAAAACAAACAGAAAAACTGAAGAAAAGTTTTAAAAATTAAGAAAAAACAAAAACTAAACAAAAACGTTTGTGTACGCCTGAATTTATAGTGAAGTACCCTTCGAGTGTCCTCCCACTGGCTGACCCCCGGCCCCGTGTTGCAGTGCAACGACAAGGAGTGCAGCGAGTGCGCCCCGGGCGGCAAGCACGACGACTGCGCGTTCATGTGCCGGTGGAACTGCAAGTGCGGCTGCGGCGGCTACCCCCAGGCCGGCGCGGACCTGGCCCGCTGGGGCGAGTGCTACCGCGAGGAGCGGCGGTGCGGGGAGACGCACTCGGCGTGCAAGAAGGGCTGCGCCAAGAAGTCGGGGCAGGGCGAGTGCGAGAGCAAGTGCGAGCTGGACTACAAGAAGTGCGCCTGCGAGTGCATGCAGTCCAGCACCAGCACCTCGACCAGCACCACCCACTAGAGCCCTTAATTATACCCGAGGGGGCAATAACTCCCTTTTGAAGTGTACACATGATTCCCGAAATACTTGATTCCCAGTGATTCCCGGTGATTCCCGCCGGCTTATATTTATTCCTTAGGTTTTCTAGTTGTAGAAAACGGTTATTCCGACTAATTTGTACCAGTTTCGCTAGTTTCCCGCTTAGTTTGAGCGATTTCTGTTGATTTCGATCAATTTTTATCGTGATGATTCCCAGGCAGGTGTACACATGATTCCCGGAGTTCTTGCCCCCTCGATTATACCATTTCTTTCAAGTGATTTCAGAACAAACCGAGTACAATAAACAGTTCGATGACTACCTTTCTTCCGCTCACAATTCACACCACCATTTCTCCTCTTGGAATGAATAAAAAGCGAACGCGAGCCGGACGAATCACACAAGTCAAAGTGTGGGTGGATCCCTTTCCCAACCCCCTCCTACCTGTTCTTTTATAGAAGCCTTCCCACTCGCGCACAACACAAAAGGAACGCCCGGAAGGGAAAGGGGGGGGGGGGGAAGGACCTTGGCCGCGGTCTAAAGAAAAGTTGAACAAATATATTTCCGCTCTAAATAGGAAGCGGTAGGTCTCGCGAGCTCCAATGCACCCGCCGTGCCCATGGCACACCTCCCCTTTACCCCTCCCCCTCCTTCTCCCTTACCCCTCGCCCTCCTCCTCCTCCTCGCTATGCTCCTCCTCACTACCCTCAGAGACGTTTGCCCTCCCCCATTTTTCATAATTGTTGGTTGTTTTTAGCCAATGTTTTCGGCTTCTCGTCAAGCGCTTACCACCAAATAGTTAAAGGAAGAGTACATTAGTTGCAAAGATTGAACGAGGAAACGTACACTGTTAAAAAAATCGATTGTAATTTTACAAATTTTGTTGGCAACTTTTTACGCAATTCAATGTTTGTAAAATTACAAACTAAAACACTTGTAAAAAAAATTGCAAACGTGTTTTGAAATTAAACAAACTGCGATCTGAAAATTAAAAACGTTAATGTGAATTTTCAAAACATCAAGGTTTGTAGGATTAAAATAATTTGCCATGAACATGGAGTAGGTAAACCACAGACGGTCTAGGGATCAGCTCGTTGGGCTGGAGAGGTGTCAGTTACCTCTGAGGGTAATGTCACAGCAAAAATGCGGGAGCGCTTCGCAGGCGCCCCCTGGTGTAAGGATGCCAACGGCGCCGTACCTAACTGAGGAGAAGTAGCGGGGACCGGCGCGCGCTGGAATTAGACCAATTATTTGGGGCACTTGGTTGACTTTTTGCTCAAAAACAAATGCGTAGCCAGCTACAGCATTGTGTTACAGATCATACCGCACAAAAATACATGTCAGTTTCTTGTGCAAATTTTAGTTAAATACTAATAATTCACTGGTAAAACAAGTGTGCAATATTTGCACACCAACGTGTGCAAGTTGTGATTTTGCACATTACATGGTGTTTAACTCAAGTTGCACACTTGCGTGGTGTGCAAATTTTAGACGTTTTGTAAACGTTTAAATTCTGCACACTTGGGCACACACAGTTGTATGCTGTCAATAGGGAACCATACGGTGTACAGCTGCTACACGTTTCGGAAGTGTCGAAATTTTAAACACCAATTGACGTATAACAAAGTTAGACACTACAAAGTGTCGAGAAAATGCACACTTGAACTTAAACGTCAATTGACGTGCAAAATTAAACACTTGTTTTACCAGTGTTGCTCTTGGAAGAGACGCGCTGACCACAACGCCATCTGGCGGCAGTTCTTTAAAGTACAGTTGCTGTTTCGTCGCATGAACGTCGAAAGTCACAACGGGCTTATAGGTGTGGAGGTTCGTTGTACTGTAGTAAACCTGATGGAGGACTTGTGCAGGTCCTGTTTCATTTGGTTTTACTTCGCAAAATTACAAACTGCAATCGGAAAATTACAATCAAATCTCACATTTCCGATAGAGTGATCACAATTTTACAATCGCAAATTGTAAAATTACAAATGTTTCCTAATTTTCAGAAGACAGATTTGAATTTTCAGAAAACTGTTATGAATTTTAATAACTAATTGCAAAATTGACAATGTTATGAAATTTCCCAACCACGTTTGCAATTTTACAACTGATTTTGATGTGAAATTTCACAACTTTTTTAACAGTGTACGGAAATGTTTTAGCGGACGTCATTTTATTTTTCGCGCATAACTTCCGATCCAATCAATAGACCGTGTCTATTTTTTTTTTTTACTTCACTCGTTGGTGGTGGTGGCGTTCCCGAAGCACACACACACGCTCCCGAGCAGAGAAGGGCGCGTCACTCGTCCTTATTTACGAGCAGAGAACATGACGGCGGAGGAGAAAGTTATCAGGCCGGCGGGGCACTAAAGTTGGGGCCCCGGTGCGTGCGTGCTCTACAAGTGCGTGACATACACCCACACACTTACGAGTGCGTGCCAAATAACGTTACACGCGCGCAAGTGGGTGACAATTTTAGTTCCTAGAAAGGTAACGATTTCGTGCACATCCAGACCGAATAAAATTGTGTTCCTCAAAAACTGGATTTTTTTTGTCAGACTTTTCTGACCCTTTCCTTACATTTAGAGTGTATGCATGCAGTGTATGACGGAGTATGACGCGCTCTTGCTCTTGTGCTTGACGTGTTTCGTTCTCTTTGAACGCACGCTACATTTTGAGTGAGCCGTTATTTTGTCATATATACGTATTGTTTTGAAGTGCTTTTGGTTGTCACGCACTTTTTGATGTTTGCGAAGTGTGAGGTGGTGGGGTGTCGGTACGCGTGGTGAGCTTTGAGTGCGCGAATCGTCCAAATGCGAACGAGTTACTTTTTTTTATTTTATTTTCTCCTTGGAAAGATTACAGTCGACGTCGCAGACAAACACCACCAACAACCACACGACTCCCGTACAGCCTGCTCGGTCCGACCGCCTTCCGTGTCTGAGTGACCGTCTGGCGGTCGCGCTGACAGATTGCTGACCCACGCAGACTGACCGCCGCACTGCTGATAGCTGACCCGGAGGAGGCTGGTCACCGCAGCGAGCCGCAGGGCGGCAGGGGATGGATCGCCTCGGTATCTGACCCCCCCCCCCCTCCCCCTCAAGGGGAGGACACCCGACACCTGTCGGGGGTGATTGGAGTTGGGAACAAGCGGCCGAGTCGTCCGGGACCGAAATTGATAACCTTTCCTTCCGGGAACGCAGTTGCCTCCCAGCCGCCCTCCTTGACACGTATAGCAGCTGCACACCACCTGGGGCCCACTGATAGCATCGAACTATGTGTGTCCCGGCCCGGAGCGCAAAATTTAGACCTGAACGAAAGTCTAAAAAAATTTAAAACCACGCAAGTGTGGAACGTCAGTCTCAGACACCATCACGCAATGTTAACGCGATTTAGATACAGTATAGGAGAGGCTCGGCTGGCACAACCAATCTTTTACTCTCATAACCAATCATGTTCTCTGAAGCTAGTATTTTGTCTGTCCACCAGGTACCCAAAACGTTAGCGATACCAGCTAACGAACGAACAAAGACAAGCAGTTACAGGAAATTCTGTAATATGAATTCGCAGAAAGAAGCGAAAAGTTTGATACTAATGATAGGGCAGTTATGAAACAGTTGGAATGCATTATCTCCCAGCGATATGCGGCGATGTCGGGGAGCGACACAGTCGTAAAGAGGAAAGGCTGACATTGCAGAGAACGCTCGCGGCGTTTAGCCTGGCCGCGAGTCGTCAGTCGTAGGCAGCCACTCAGAGCGGCGACACCTTCTGGCCCTAGCTCGGTAAGTGAGGGGTTACCCCGCACCTAAACCTTGTCGTAGATGCGGGAGCTAGGGGTGTTTGAGAGTATGGAGCGAGGATGAGAAGTGAGAAGTCCGTGGTTAAGGGCTGGATAACCCCTCACTTACCAAGCTCCGCTCTGAGCTCTGAGTCAAACATTTTATTTCCGCTTTTTTCGTGATTTTTATTATAATGTAACACCGAGTGAGCCAAAAGAAGTGGATCGAGGGGAAAGGTCG